GCTGTTTGTAAAGCAAAGGCTTAAAAGACGCCCACCGTTATCACTCGTGTTGTCAATGTCCTGACATCATTATGTTTGGCCATGCACTATATTTGGTGCGCTTATTCCTCTTTTGGTTGTCACTGACAATTGAGATACATCAAGTTTCAAAACTCTAACAGACGGCTGCAAGCATTTACCGGAAGCGGCTTTGTCGCAGTCACTCTACGCATTTTTCTGGGCATAGGCGAGAGCGACTTTCAGCGTTGCTTGTTTGACATTTTCGAGATAAACCATTATTCTCTTGGTCAGATGCTTGACAGAAATGGCTGAACGGTTCATTCACAGGGACAAGTGGGCATCTACACCGATACTGCATAATGTACTGCAACTTGACCATTAAAATGACCTTCAATCCCAAGAGTACCTTTTCAGGGAAGCGAGTTTCCGTCACTGTCGTTAAGTCGCGTCAGTATCAGTAGGCAATATGCAGAGATGGCAAGACACCTACGTTGGCCAGGTGATTTAGGAACATTCCTAATAAAGCGTTAAATCTACCTCATGCGTTTTTATTTTAGATTTTTTGTTTTCAGACATCTGATGAGATTTAAAAGTGCAGGCTGTACCAACTGGCTACGAAGCTCAATTCAAGGAAAACGATAAAGTTTGCAACTGTTCGCTCAAAAATCATTCAGTAGCTGATCGTAAAGTGCCAGCAGTTGTCCTTAAGCACCCATAAGAAGCATCTTTGATCAGTGTCACCCGAAACGCTTAGTGAGCAAACTAGAAAGTTTGGCTTGCCTGCTCATCATTTATGTGAGACACTAAAAATCTCTCTGAAAGCTGCTGGTTCAAATGATCGCAAGTTTATTCTTAGATGAAGTGGGTACCTATGTTCAGAACTGATCAATCTCATATAGCCTGATTACGAAAATTACTCCTTCATGACCTGGGACTTACCGCTCAAGCGTCCCGTCCCATGGAGGTGAGTGTTTGTGACTGCCTGAAGATCGAGCATGCACTGGCATTCAATGCGAAGGACATATTTAAATTATGGAACGAACGTTCCAATTCTAAACTGATAGTTTATAGTTCCCCTGGTGTCGTAGGTTTCTTGGTTCGAAGTTTCACTTCTAACAGCGAACTGAAGCATGCCGCGGAACTCATTTCTGCAACAGATATTGATTCCATTGCCGTTCGGTAAATTATTATCCAGACAGCTTATGAGAACGTCACGGGTTGCCTACGTCTCAGCAAAATTTCTCGTTTGAGCAATTGCACGGGAAAAATGTATTATTGCAGAGTTATGCACGCATGAAGATATAGATACACATACACAGTAAAAATACTGCATCCTTTGTTAAATCTATGACGCAGAATATTTCAACAAGGAAATGTTTTCATTATGAATTGATTGTTGGACTAAGATGAGAATCCTTGCACGTAACTGTGTTATTAATCCGCTATTTTGCTTATAGTGGTAACGATTTTAATTAACCTGAAAATCGAAACTACCGAGTATAGCATTTTCAAAGTGGATTTGAAATCGCAGGAAGCACGAGACAGTAATTTAGTGCTAATTGCGAGGTCTGGTGCTGTCGAATATAAATTGAGGTGAACTGTAGCCTCTAAACTTGTAAGGTAGCATCATGGCCTTGCCTTTACGTCGATTACAAAGTTATGTATTCAAAACCTTCAGCAAATGATTTCTGTTTGAGGTTTAGCATAATGAGCAATCGGAATGATGTTAAAATCTATAAATGGTTGTGCGGAATAACTCTTTGGTGCGGAAATAAATCGATTCCATGTTTCGAAATGTTCTAAAGATTGCTTACAAACTTCGATTCTGTTTGAAGGCAATGATTTTTTTGATTTTGCTTGTTCGGTTTGTATGTTACTCAAAGTTGTTTCATTTGATAACTAGCTCCATTTACAGTTCAGTTTCATTATTTTGTGTCAGTATATTTATTGCATCACGTTTAATACATCTTTCATATGGGTTTTTCTATCATCAGCTGTGTTCGATTCAATATTCGACTGCCAAGTTGCTCAGCTTGTGTCTAGCGGAGGCAGCCCTATTATTCCTTTGACAAACATTGACGCCTGCCGTTACTGACGATATGTTGGGTTTTTTGACCAGAGCTGCCACAGTCACAAACAGAAACGTTTTCATGCTGCCAGTTGTGTCGGTAGTTCCGGTTGTGGGTGAGTCGAGTGGATTCGGTTTAGGCAGCCTGTTGTTTAGGGCGAAGTAAAGGTCCAGTCGGTTTTCTGTTGGACCGTTAGCCCATTAGTAAGTTTGCTTTCCCCCTCGTCGCTAACATCGAATGATGACACCTTGGTTTGCTTGAGTCAGCTTGAGCAAAAGGGAGACAGTGTGCCATACAGATTTGGATGAAAAGAGAGGTCTTTGCCTTAGACCTGGCGGTACTCCTTTATGCAGCTATAACATTTTCGGATTCAAAGACGAGGTGCTCTAGAGGACAGACAAGCATAGAAACGGTAAATAACGTTCAGGACTGTCATTACGATGCCGTTGAAGATGATGCGGAGGATTTGGATGTGGCTGTTTCCTGGAGGTTCGACGGTGAATCACAGGCAGTGTGATTTTTCAATGTCATTTAGATAGCTTGGAACAGCGCAACACGTCCACCGTTATTCGCGGATTCGAGTCTCCTTCTTTCAGGCCCGGCCTTTCCGGCGTCTGATTTATTCCTCTCACCGTCGTGATATTCGACTCAGGTCATATTCCACCCGAAAAGGTACCATCCCGTCGATAAATGGAGTTACTTGCCTTGTCCACCATAGTTTCTCCCGTTTGCTGTCGGCGACAACGCTTTATACTTTTGATCTCACAACGATGTGGTCGTGACGTAAAAATCGCAACTGGCTTCTTTCCATGGCTCTCTCGAGAGCAGACAGCTGGCACTATTCGGTTTTAGTGAGTGACCACGTCTTAAAGCGATATAGCATTGCCTACAGGACGCTACAATTGGAAGAGGTGGGGGCAGGTGTTTTCATGATGTTGTTTCTGAGGATATATTTGATGAAATGAAACGCGCTCCAATTGGTTTTCTTTCTTCGTTGAATCTTTCCAACCTCCTTTGCCGCATGTTTATTTCATGACCCAGATAAATGTTTTGTACATTTTTATCGTTTCACCGTTTAATATTACCTGAGCCATCGAGAAGGCACTTGATCACAGTATGTCACGAACTCTTGTAGTATGCTTTTTAGATGACTGTCGTTTTTCGCGAACAACACCATGTCTTCAGCTAACTTTAGGTAGCTAAGGTGTTCACCGTTGATATTAATATCTCCTTTCCTCCCGGACACCATTTCCGAACAGGCAGTGTGAGTTTCCGGGGGATGGTGTTCCCGTGATTCACGCCATTCCCTACGGTAATCCAGATGGGAGTGTCCAACAGTGTGATTTTTGTGCAGCATTCAGAGTTCGTTTCCTTTTTCAGCTTGATGTAACGAGTGTCGATGCCCTGTTTTGTGAGTATAATCCACACTGCAATGTGCTTGACGATATCGAACGCTTCCTCATAGTCGACGAAGGTTATGCTCAGAGGGAGCGGAAATTCCCTTAAGGAGTTGACTTAAGGTAAGAAGTTATCCGTTGTGTTGTAGCTCCTTGAGAATTCTGCCTGTTCTGTTGGCTCTGCTCGCCCAGACTTGCTGACAGTCTATTGGTGGTGATCTTAGTGATCAGCTTGTAAACTTGTGAGAGGAGAGCAGACAGTTTGGGCGATAGTTCTTCAAAACCGTTTGACTCCCTTCTTAAATAACACGGTTGTTTTTTGACTGATTTCAGCCTGATGGCATCTTTTACACTTGTAGGTAGAGGTTGAACTTCTCTCCAATTTTCGATGTTGCCTGAGGTTGCTGCTGCCTTCGGATGTTTTCTCTAAATTTCGCAGTCTGATGGCCTCGAAGTTTTCCTTCAGCAGTCGTCTAATGAACTTGTAGAAAAGAGACTACTCCACTGTGTTGGTCCCATCACTCTTCATCATCCTGCGCTTCTGTGTCAAATTCTTTGTATCTTCTGAGATCCATCCTTTCTCTCTCTTTGATGTTACCACCTCGCTGACTCCTGTTTCTCGGCGAACTTATTGTAGTCATTTCATCTGCCATTCAGGCCCCAGTCTTTGCTGGAAATGCATGTTTGGAGTTACGTAGCATCGAACTTTCAGTCATTTTCGTGATTCACTATATCAGTGCCCTCCTTTCGATCTTCTCCTCGTAGGTTAGCCTGGTCAGCACCTGTCTGCTGTTACTTCCAGTGTTGAGTGATGGCATTACTGCTGTTTTGGATAATGCCGCGGTTGATCTCGTTTTCCATTTCCGCGTTGGGTATAATCCACCTCGCCTACTGTTGGTGTTGTTCTTGAACAAGGTGTTTCCAATATACAGGCGTTTTTTCTGTCATGATCATCAACCAACCTCCTAGCTCATTTTGATTTCCGCAGCTGTTTGTATCGACGAACTTTTCACCGGTCATTCCTGTCCCACCTCAGGATTGAACTTTCCATTGTTGAAGCTATGCGTGAACTTTTGGACATATGGCTGTTCCAGGACTTGACGGAATTCTTCCACCTCTTTCTCATGCGCTGTTCTGGATAAAGCATAGGTTTAGATAAAAGATTTTCAAAATTATTTTTTGTTCAGTTCGAGGTACAGTATGCCTTCGCGACATCTCATCTTCGTAGCTAAATCGAACCACCAGCTTTTCAAATGCCATTTACCTCGTTTCGCCATCGTGTCTTACACACGCCAAGGATGTTGCGGGCCGTCCTTGACCTTTTCTCTATTCGTTGATTTGACGTTTCTTCTCTTGTCATTGTTCTACAACTGTAAGTGCAAACGGCGAGGGAAGTCCGGGTCACTTCATTAGGTGGGGGCCTTTCACCTAGAATTTGTAATTTCCTCTCGTCAGTCGAGCATCCAGCCTGCCGTGGAACGGATCGAGACAGGTTCTGGGTATTGCGTCCCATTTATTTGGTTTGTCGTAGGACATGGAGGTTTGTTACTCGCTTGAGGCACTGAAGGTGGCATGATTACATATTATAACAAAACTGTGAGTCAGATGCGTTCATATCATGTCTTTTTGTACTCTGAACTAATTAATTTATTAATTTTTAGGGCTTACTGGCAATGGAATTCAGAGACATCAAGATTCAAACAGGAGTGATAAACAGGTATTGAAATATACTTTTGCGTATATGTAATTAAAATAGAATTAACGAAATGAATAAAATGAATACGGGTACTGTCACTAATGCCCTTTATTTTTTTAGTTCCCTTTTATTGTAAAGTCCGTAGCTATAGAATTATGTTGTAATTTCAGATGAGCAGCGCATTTTTGTATGGATCCCGAAAACCTTGTCTCCACAGAAGTATACTTCTGATAACCGTCTCTGGAAAAATGTTAAAAAGCGTCTATTACTAAGTTATTCGATAAATAATTCTCTAAAATATAACTCGGTATTTCTTGGGCTGTCTCGAGAACTTCGGCCCGTCATTCGAGCATGTAGCAGCTCCTTCGCTTTCATTTTTGGAGACATTCTCGAAATGTACCCGTACCATCATAGAGTGCCTTCTCTATCTGGAGAAGCAGTAGCTTTACACAAATCGGATATCAGAACTACGGGCTGTCGAGACACAGGAGCCCATTTCATCCGCTTGAACTACGAATCGTTTTTTACTCACTGCCCGTTACTCACAGGTGAACATGAGAACAAATCTCATTAAATACAGACAGCTACGACTTCTGACTCACCCCTGTCTTCGAAAAACTTCAGAGAGAATGCCACTGACAGTCCTGATTCTTCGGTCGATCCCTTCGTGTTTTTCATCGCTAGTACCCATAGCGACCCTGTGATTAATTGAGTATGGAGGAACGAAGACGGTAAAGAAGTTTCATGCACTGTTTCATCAGATGTCGACCTTCCAACATTTCTCAGGAGGACGGAAGTGTCGAGTAATTGTCCCTACATTTAAATAGGGTCGGTTGACAAAGTGCTTCAGTTATCGTAGTCGCACATTACAGCCAACTCCAAGGAAACTTTGCTTCTGGATTATCCTGAAAAGGCTGAAGCAGGCAATTGACGGGAGACTTCGCCAAAATCAAGCAGGCTTTGGCTTTCTTATCGAGTACACGTGCCTGGACCAAATATACATTTAAGATTATTGAGATTACATAGATTTCTGTTCCGTAGCTTGCTAGTTATCTCGATTTTAAGGTGCATTTAATTCACAACATTCTCGGACAATATGGAAAATACTGAAATGCTATCGTATGTCTAAGTATATCGTTTCTGTCTTGGAGGAGATATATAGGAGTCATGCCTGCTGTGAGATCGGAAGGGGGGGGGGAGACTTCTGAGTTTGCCCCTATTACCGTTGGATTCGTCAGAAAAATGTTTTCGTCTTTGCTCTTCAACATTGTTCTCGACTTTTTTTTATGAAGCAGTGTTTACTTTTGCAAAGACAAGGGTCTGATTCTAGAGAGAAGATGAAATTCAAGATATCCGGCTAGATATTGTTCTGACTTAGAGTACGCAGATGATATTGTGGTAAGTAGTATAGGGAACGGGCCTTTTCACCTGACCGCTCTCGTATACATCATAGATAAGAAAGCTGGTCTCTTCCTTAACGCCCGAGAGTCGAAGATTAGGAAGAAATCCGGCACAGCTTATCATCAAGTAGTAAAGGGGTGTGAAGTGCTTCGGGAATTTGACTAATTTAATTTTCTCGGCTTTCTCGTCTCCAGCGATGTCACCATTCAGTCATAGTTAAATTGGAGAAATTCCGTAGCTTGAGTTCTTTTGGAATTTCGGCTGAGAAAAGAGTGTCCCTTTAAAAAAAAACACCCTCTTTTACATTTCCTCTGTCAGATCAGAGTTCTTCTATGGCATGGAAACCACTAATCTAACGAAGGAGCAGGAATGAAGCCTTAATTGCGTGCAGCAGTAGCTTTAAGCGTCATTTAGACTTCATCATTTTCAGCAGCCTTGTCACGTTTTAGGCATTTTACAGCTTCTACAGCTTCACCTGCTGAAAGATTAATATGCCTATTCTGATGCTATTCAGGTGAGTCCCCCTAAGCTTGGTTGAAATTAGAAAATTCCTTAAAGTACACTGTCCATCATCGAAGTATCGCCTTTTCCTTGGTAAGAAGAACTTTCGTTTCGCGACTCTTAGACTGTCCTTCTGCCCATCTATGAGTCGGGGAATGATCTGGCAGAATACTATGTTTGGAAATTCAGTTCCAGGACCTCACCGAACCTTTTCTAGGAAGTGGCTTTGTCTCTAGCCACAGATTTAGCTGCTTTTACTCTCTTCTTCTTACTGCGTTCGAGTCCAAGGCTATTTTCCAAGTCGCCTAATAGATACAACGTTCTTCTCACCGCCACCTATTTAAGCATCTTGCATTGATCAGCAAGTTCGTTTCTGACCGTCAGGCGGCTGTCGAATGCATTTTGAACACCGGAGATGGCTCAGTCGATAGAACGTCAAACCCAGAACCAAGAGTTACCGAACTGGAGTTTCGGTCAGATACACTCGCCTTTCTTCCGATGTTAATGAGTCGCACTATCAGAGATAGATATAGGAGACTACACAGTGTGCTATCCACATTATTATAGATCTTGCCTTTAGAAAAAGGCACTCCTTGCTGATGGTATTGAAATGGAGATTAGCGCCTTCCCATGGGCTTCAAGAAGTAAAAAGTGCCATAAATGGCCACAGGTCATGAAAGTGTAACGTAGACTGACATCCGACAGTTAGAGGGTTCGCTGTGTCAGGTAAACTGGTGCTCACAGAGGATGTTCATAGCAGTCAGCTCGGTATTTGCAGAATTGTGCAACTTTATTCGTTTACAGTTGAAACGACTAGCGCCGTTCTTTAACATCATGCCTTGCTATTTTAGAGTTTCTACTCTGTCACGCGCATTGAAATCGCCTATCAAAATCATGGATTTCATAGTCTGCATTTCGTCCTTCAGGAAGAATTCATAGTATACCTCCGAATTGGGTGCACGCATCTGCAACAAGGCAAAATCTTTCGCTTGTTGCAAATTCAGTTAAAGAATTGCCACTTTCCGCTCACAGGCTTCTGTTCATTGATTATGCCAGAATAGTAACACCGATTTGAGCGCTGGTTGTAGAGTCGACGTCTGAATAAAAACCTGGTATTTTGGTTATCATCGCGTAGATCTTTAACAGTCCATAGGACTTCGCCGTGGCGCTCTGCCACGAGCAGAGAGAGAGAGAGCACATGAGGCGGGTTTTGATCGTTGATTTTGTCGCAATGTATCTCAGTTCCACAAAATCCGTACGGCTCGTGTAGCCCTAGCGAACTAGCAAGCAGTTATCACATTCGACAGTGGCAATATCGTCGATGGACTGTTCGTTAAGAATCTACTTGAGGCTTTACCGAGATTCCCAACCCTCCTTTTTCTGCAACGTTACTTGGGACTGGCAATGGCAGAATTAAGTTATTTTCAAGTTTATAAACTACAGGATTCGTGGAATACATGTTATGTTAAAGTT